TTTTCTTAGTTTTCTTAGAATTTATTTCTTAGAATTTATTTTCTCTCTACTAACTGAACAGGGGAGGGAGCAAAAGCACTATTTCATTTTTCTTCATCAGTATTTCACAGTGACCTAATACAAAGGGAAGTCAACTTAGAATTGCTGTAAAAACACTTTGAAAAGAATATAATAGTACTTGTTATTCTTCTGTTCTGTCACCTTTCATTCTCACCTCAATTTCTATATGCTTAGCTATCACTATTCCAAACTATCTGAAACAGTCTCAACTTACAGGAAGTACTGGAGAAGGAAATAGAAAAGACTGCTTCAGTTCTGACTTTTCTTGATCATTACCTCTCAAATATGATCACTTATGCAACTGAGAACACCAAAGACAGTAACAACCATTGCTAACTACATCGTAACAGCTCTCCATTCTCAACTAATTTATATGCTAAGTGATAATGACTAACATTTTGATATAGAAAGTGAATAGTTGTTGATAATATATAAAAAGTAAGCATTAGCATGAAGGATATTGATAATAATCAGTTTTTGCATTTGATACTTAAAACTGATGTGATTTTTTTTGGTCATCAAAATTTTCCATCACACAGATTTGCAGTCTCTTTTTGATAAATGCTGATATAAAACAAACAAACAAACAAACAACAAAAAAAAAAACATTGTTGCAGAGGACCTGTAAAAAAACTGTGAGAGTAATTAAGCTAAACCTTTTGTACTTTGCAGCTTTTTTTATGCATTACTTTCTTAAATGCTTCTAACAGTTAAATCAGACAATAAAGGACGTTACTAGATGTAAGCTAATTTATGAAGTTTATAAACTAGAAAAATGCTCACATTTTGTGCTTCTGGGAATTAGGCTGGCCATTTAAGTATATTTTCTGTGCTGACAAAACATTGAAAATCATAATTTTTCAGAATGTGTTTTTACTATCTCAAAAATCATGCTGAAGTGTTTCATAGCAAGACAATTCTCAGACATCAAGCTGTCACTATCATAGCAATTTTTGACTGTATGTGATTGTCTATAACTGATAAGTAGGTACAATACAGAGTTTACAGTATTTCCACAGATTTTCTTGTATGATAGAGATAGAAAAAAACAGATATGAAGTTATCATTAGCTGTTTTTCTTCTATTTATACTGCACTCTTTTTAGAAGAGTCCATTCCTTCATTTGTATAAAGCAGAAGTCTACCTTCCTCATTTCTGTGCATCACTTTGAAACTATTTTTGAAGTAGTTTGTGTATATTGGTTTGAAACTGTGAAACGATAGATGAGTGTCTATTCTGCATGGAGGTGCATTGAGTGAGAGCTGATGCAGGGCTCCTCCTGGATCTTAATATGAGAGACCAAACAACAGATTGAGATTAATTAGAAGAAAATAATACAGATAGGGAGGGTAGGAAGGCCATCCTATAACAATATCAAGGCCAAGAGTCGGGTCATGCATTTCAGTCTCAACAAGCCCAGGCATGGCTACAAGCTTGGGGCAGAGTTGCTAGAAATCTGCATGGAGGAAAAGGATCTGGAGATGCTGGTCAACACTTGGCTAAAAATGAGTCATTGTGCCCCGGTAGCCAAAAAGGCCAGCGACTTGTATCAGAAATAGTATAGTAAGCAGGACTAGGGAGGTAATCCCTCTGTATTCAGCATTGGTGAGGCCACACCTCAGTACTGTGTCCAGTTTTGGGCTCCTCACTACAAGAAAGACATTGAGGCCCTGGAGAGTGTTCAGAGAAGGGCAACAGGGTTGGTGAGGAGTCTGAAGCACAAGTCTTATGAGAAGCAGCCGAGGCAATTGGGATTAGTTAGTCTGGAGAAGGCTCAGGGGAGACCTTATCACTCTCTACAATCACCTGAAAGGAGGTTGTGGCAAGGTGGCAGTTGGCCACTTCTCCCACCCAACTAGTAATAGGACTAGGGAATGGCCTCATGTTGCACCAGGGAAGGCTTGTGTTGGATATTAGGAAGAATTTCATTCCAGGAAGAGTGGTTAGTCGTTGGAAGTGTCTGCCCAGGGAAGTGGAGGAGTCACTGTCTCTGGAGGTGTTTAAGGAAAGGATAGATATCATACTTAGAGACATAGTTTAGTGGGCAATACTGGTGGAGCATGGATGGCTGGACTGCTTGATCTTAGAGGTCTACTCCAATCTCCGGTGATTCTAATGCTATGATTCTATGATCAATCTTACATGTAAATCTTTCAGGTGTTGAACATCTGGAATTCACACAGCATGGAATGGACCCTGAATGAACTTTCCCAGGCTGCTGCACAGAACAGGTCCTGACTACAGAGAGGATCTCTTTGTTTGAGAGCTGTGCTATACAAATTTGTGACAAAGCTGTTCCTAAAGGTGTGGACACAGGAGCTTCCCTCTACGCTATTGGATAGAAATGAGGCCTCTGGAACCAGGAAGGGCTGTGTACATCACTAAGCCCAGGAATTGGCACAGTGCATGCAACCTGTAGACTGGGCTGATCCTGTGGTACCTCCTCAGGTGGGCCAGTGTGGGTCACAGTTGAGGGCTATGAAGATGATCAAAGACCTAGAGTACCTCTAATATAAACATAGGCTGAGGGAGTTTGACTTGTTTAGCTTGGAGAAGAAAAGGCTCTGGGGAGACCTCATTGCAGCTATTCAGTACTTGAAGGAAGCTTACAAGCAGGATGAGGATCAACTTCTTACGTGATCTGATAGTGAGAGAACAAGGGGGAATGGCTTTAAAATAAAAGAGGAGAGATTTACTTTAGATGTTACAAAGAAAATTTTTACTTAGAGGGTGTTGAGGTGCTGATATATGCTGCCCAGAGATGTGGATGCCCATCCCTGGAAATGTTCATGGTCACGTTGGATGGAACTGATCTGTAAGCAGCCTGATCTCACGGGTGCCAGCCCTGCCCATAGCAGGGAATTGAAACTACATGGTCATTAAGATCACTTCCAATCTAAGTTATTCTATGATTCTAAGAAGCCAATTGCTTCTTAGCAATATAGATTGCTAGGAAAATATAGGCATTTTCTTCTATATTATTTTGGTTCTTCATTTTTGTGTCCTATGCTAATGATCATTTTTTTTTTATTAGATCAAAAACTTATCAAGCACTGAATATTTAGAGTATTTAACTCATTTAATTTGCTCTGGTCCCCTATTTTTTGTTGCTGTTGTTGTTTGCATGTTTTTTTTGTTTTTTTTTTTTTTTTACTTACTTAACTTTCTGTCATCTTAATGAATTAAATTCCTTTACTGAGCACAGAGTAGTAGAAGCATATGATGAGGTCTGAGGGGTGAAGGTAGAGCAGAAAAGTAGCTTTGAACACTAGGAAGGACCAGAGTCTTCCTTTGTTGTGCTTTGGATATGACTAAACTAATCCTGAAAGCTTGAAAGTAAATGCTGATGGTGAATATCTTGAAGATGATTGTTCAGTGAACAGATGTGAAAAGTGTAGAATAAGATTTACCAATAAAAGTATATTTTGGGTGTCGAAACTTTACAGTTGAGGGCAGCGCTGATGATGTAATATAAATATAACTCTGGAGGACATTTCAAGATGCCTTAGAACTTCTTTTCTGTGCTGAAATAGGTTTAATTACAACTTCTGTATCTGTTACTTACCTTATGCTGTAAGTAATGAACATATTTTTGAGTGGACTAAGCAGAGACATGAGTGTTAATACTTGCAAGGTAATTCCAAGATTTTCAGCGCAGATACTAATAGTTAGGCATTTAAAATAATCTTCTGTTTTTGAAAGTTCTCTATGATTACTAGGTCTTGTTGCTATTAAACATTTGAATTCCCCCAAATATGACTATAGAAAGTAGTCCACTCTTCCTCTGGATTTAGCATATTTTATTACTGGATCTGGAAATTCTCATCCCAGCGCTGTTAGACTTTTGCACGCAAAGTGTCATTTACTATATGTCATATAAACCCAGTGTGACTGAAGATTTCTCCTTGTCTCTGAAGTCTGACAGATTGATCCATTCAAACTGACATAGAGATCAGCATGTTTTTCACCCCTAATCTATTTATCTGTGCTTCAATTGTTTCAACATCTCAAAGGCTATTCTAAGTCCTCATAATGTCTCAGCACTGCTAAAATTGTGAACTGCCACCACCACTGAATTCAGGAATTCATACAGTGCAGTTTATTGCCAGACCTTGAAAACCAAATTCCTTTGAAGATTCTGAAGGTCCCAAAGTGCTTAATAGGAACAGTCACTGTGTTGTCCCACAGTCCTTGGAACATAATTCCATTGTGTCTCAAAATATGTATCTTTTTCAATGGATCAGCTAATGCCAGCCTACTTAGATGTGGCTGAAAGTCAGTGATGATATATTAGTTTATGCATATCTAGCAAGGACTTAAAGATTCTTGTAGTAATAAGGAGTTTTACAGATACGAAATGCTAGTAGTGACTGTTGCTTTCAGACTGTGCACAGGCAAGCCCAGCTGTTTTCAATAGATCTGCAAATATGGCCACTTTATTGTAAGCCTTTTAATTAAAAGAAAAAGAGGGATGGGGAAATCTTGGTAAACTAGTTTGCAGAATACAGAAGTAAGCAATTATTTTGTAATTACATGGTACTTGGCAGATGCAAGAATGTCCTTTTTATGATTCCTCCAATACAATTTTCATGTAATTTTCAGAAAGAAAATAACCATGTCATTAAAATAATTGCATTACTATTGTCAAAATAAACATTTTGTTTTCCTGATTACTCTAAGACCTATTCTGGAAGGACTAATGCAATAGAAAAAAGGTGTGTGTGGGGGTGGTGAAAGGGAAGGGGGGGAAGCAGGGTATATAAAAAAATACCCTCTATCAAACCAAAAGTTATATTTACATATATATATATATATATATATATATATATAAATGACTGGAATGAATTGTTTGTGGTTAATGTCTGTATACTTGTGTAGCAGAAAGACAATGCATTTGTGAAGTGCATTATATTCTGAAAATATTTTTTCCTTTCCAGAGTGTGTGGAAGTCATTCATCTGAGTCTTTGTCGACGAAGATTCTGCTTTAAGTTCACTGGGTAGCTAGGATTTCACTTCTTCGTGGATATAGATTTTTCTACGTCTGACCCATGTAGACTTTCCCTGTGGTCTCCAAAAATGATTATGATTCATAAGCTCAGATAGTTCAGATGTAGATCTGCTACTGGCACAGAAACATTTTTGCAACCTATATTGAAATGTAGCATTTAGAGAAATACGAGCCCAACTATTAGTATTTGGTCAAGTTTGATATATTATATGTATGTGATTTCATCACATCTAATGATCAACTCAGAGATCACGTTTGGTTTTGTTTTTTTTTTTGAACATCCACTGCACACTAAAAAGGTGTATATATGTTGAGTGGATTATATTATAAAATATTTCTATGGAGACTGATTTTTTATTTCTGTTGCTATCACTGAAAAATTATTTAGCATCTTTCACTGTTATGTAACTGGATAGGACTGGAACTCTCCTAGTTTAGAAGATACCAGAATACACAAGACTGGTTGACAAAGCACTGTGTAAAAGAAGCAGCAGCTGCTGATTTTGAGATGCTTTTTGTGATCATTGCATACATTTGGCTAGCTTCTGGAAAGCTGTTTTAAGGCTTACTGAGTTAGGAATACTGTTTCTGACCACACAGCAGGAAAGAGCTATGTGATGGTCTGTACTAAAGGAAACAGGTGTTCTCCTAAAACAGTTTTTAAAACAAATTAGATAATTTCCTCTGAGGGTTTATTTCATATTCTATCTATCTATCTATACATGAAGGCAGTTCCAAAAGTATTGCCTCTTATTTTATTATGTTGATTCACAACATCAGAGGTGGATGTTGGTGGTATGGCAATAGAGGGTGAACCTTCCCCCAGTATTCCATTACGTTATTGTGTGACAGATGGAAGCAGAGGGGTAGTCTGACCAAGTGATGTCTGACATGGAAGTATGGATGAAGCAAAGGTGTGTAACTGAATTCTTCTGTGAGGAAAAAATGGCACCCATTGACATTCATTGGCACTTGTTGAAAATCTGTGGAGACCAAACCATGAATGAGAGCACAGTGAGGCGGTAAGTGCTGTATTTCAGCAGCTGCAACAGGGGCATGAAAAACAAGCCACGTTCTGTATAGCCATGCAGATTTTTATGACTGGCATGAAGGCTTTTGTTAAGGACTGGTGAAAATTGTGGTAATTGTGCTGAAAAGCAGAACTGTGTATTATTCTATCAAATAGTGTTGTTGTGTTCCTTGTATCCTTTGTAGTTTCCATGAAAATAAGTAGGAGGCATTACTTTTGAAGCAACCTACTTATATATCTATATTTACATATATATGTGTGTGTATCACACACAAATACACATTTTAAGAAAACTGCATCAATATTGTGCTGCCTAATTACCTTAGCATTCCTATTGAAGAAAATTGATCACAGCATATCCTCCACACCATTTTTTTTCCCCCTGAAACTAGACGTTTATTAGTCCCGCATTGCTCCCCTTGCTACTTTGTTACTGTGGTTCCCATCTGCCTCTTAGGACAAATTTCCTCTTCTCTCTTCTGCCAGCAGGCTGCCTTGTTCTCAATTTCTGCCAATGAAAATATGTCATGCCGTCACGCTACTGAGCTTTCTGCTGTGTGACTTTCTCAGTGTTTGAATCAGACACTTGAGTTAGTATGGTGCTAATTTTAAAACTTACTGCTTTCTCTTTAGGAAAAGAAATGCTCAAGTAGCTCTTCTAAAGGTAGGTTGTCACTGCACACAGTGGTGGATGTAATATTAGTAATTATCCTTCAGGAATTAGTCTAGTAAAGCAGGGAATAAATCTGTACCTGTCTGCCCTCAGTGGAGTCTTTAAACATGCAGAAGACTATCTTCATCTTCCTTTTCTGAAGATTTAAAGACTACATTTAATTAATCTTTAAATGTGAAACTGAAATGAACTCTCAGCCTCCTCAATTCAAACTCCTGAGCCTGATTTTATGATGAATAGTGGCATACTCACAGAAAAGCTGAGACAATGAACTGTTTAGGCAATTGCAGAACATGCAAGACCATCTGTGGAAGAAAATATTCTTTACACTATTTCTTAAGAAAATTAGGCTTAGAAAAATGATATAATCATAAAACCAAAATTAAATCCTTCTATATATGTTGAATTTGTTGGGCTAATTTTAAATGGATTTGATGAAGGAAAAGTAGTCTCAATTAACTGAATTCCTGCAGGCTTTCTAAAAATATGATTTGGAAAGAAGAGGAGGAAAGAAATTAGTGCTACCACTGCTAATCTGACAGAATACCAACTAAAAATTCATCATCATGGAACTATTCAAAATAGGGCCTGGGACTCACAGGTTAAGTAAAGTAAGAACCTGGGAATACTACACACATATGAATACGGATCCAAATCTCTCTTGGCTTTAATTAGTTCTGCATTCCATGGAGTGTCAACGTGTGGTAAAAAGTTGCAGGAAAATACTGGAATTAAGTGATAATTACTGTACACTTTATTTCGGTAAAAGCATGTTATTCTGATGTTTTCATATTTCTTTGACTCTAAAGTGAACCAGATTTCTCACTGTATCATGATTTGGATTTCAGAGTCATTTCAGATGAAAGGAAGCTCATCTTTTCATATTCAAAGAAAGAGTACCAAAAATGTCATACTTTGGATACCAGATCTAAAGAGCCATTCATTATCCAGGTAAATTCTGCCTTTCTTTTTTTCTTTTTTTCTTTTTTCTTTTTTTTTTTTTTTTTTTTTTTTTAACTTGGACTAGAACATGGAAGAGCTACTTGGGAAACTAGACTGTTCTGTATATTTTCCTTCTGTGTATCAAGTTTTTCAAACACTCTGAAGTTAGAGTGCTACTCTTTACAGATGGAGGAAAAAAAATGATACAAATTTCTGTTACAAGGAGAGGTAATATTTAGTGTGTTCATTCTGAGCGCAATTGTACTGTCACATTTCTGTTTGTTTCTGACAGATTTTCCTCTTTTCGGAAGCTGAGGAAGAAATAACGTTGTTCTACCAGATAGGAGATAGTAGATGTTTTCCTGATTCTCTTTAGATTTACTATATACTTTCAGGCAATTTTCTTCATTACTCCTGAAGGCAACCTAGAGTGCATTTGTCTGCACTGCATGCGTGACAGGAAATCTCATGTGACTAAAGCATAAACTGGAATCTTGTTTACTAAATTATGACTTTGCCACATTTACTCATGTTTTCTGTGCAAGCAGCTAGCCTGATATGAAGTACTAGTTCCCTTAACCAGAAAGAATTTTTGACCTGAAGAATTTATTTCCACATTTAAGTACAAATAGCAGGGGTGCCTTTTGCACATTCCTTCCAAAGTGTACTTGTGAGAGAAAAATATAACTGTGTTTGCTGCTGTAGAAATTAGCCATAGTTTTCTTAGCTGGTTAAATTTCTGTATAAATACTTAAGTGGTTTCTGTGTTTGTTTTTGTTTTGCTTTTCTTTTTCCTATGCAAACCAAGAAACATCATTAAGGAATTAACTTATTTTAGATGTTGAAGAAAGAAAATAAAGATGTGAATTACTTCTTAGTAGTCTAACAAATCTGAAGTTATTGATGCTTTCTATCATGTTCTAAGAAATACTAATCCTGCTATCTGCATTCATAGAAACCAGGATGGCTGGGCAGAGGTGCAGCTAGAAGTACTGATGTGTTCCACTCTCTGAAGGGGACCAGGTAGGAAGACAAAAAGAGTGCAGTGTGTCTCAAGAAAAGCTGAAGAAGAAATTGTTCTTTAACAGCTGTTTTCAGGATAATAAGAAAATGGCTCAAAGCACTGTGTCAGTTTATTTAGATGATAGATCTTGGGTCAATAAAAAAGGCACAAAATACTAGCACAGCCAAACTCTTTGCCTCAGAAGAAGTAGAGGTGTATACATTTATTTTAATAAATTATAGAACAGGTATAACGTAACTTCTACATTCTGTATTGCAGTATTAATGAAATCCTAGATCACACTGATGTGGGTGAACACAGGCCAAGTACTTATCGTGCAGTTATGCAGTGGATTGTGGAAACATAGTCCAAAATGGCTAATCAGAAAGTTGGAAGTTTATCTTATAGAAACTACTTAGCAATGGTGTTAATGTTTAAAAATTAAAACTGGTAGCTCTGTAATGAATATAATTTCACCTTTTAAAATCAGATTTTTTTTTAAAAAGTAGAGTAGATAAGTAATGAGAACTTGTAAGAGAGAACTAATCTTCCTAAAATAATTCTGAGAAATAAATTGCATTAAAGACTTTGAGCTAATTTCTTGCTCTGTGCCTGTAATCACAGGAACATTATAATATTTCATGTTTTACCCAATACTATTATCATTTGCTGATTATCTGGACAAAAAAAAAAGTCCTAATTTAGAGAAGTACTTCAGTATAGGCCTAAGATTCTTCTACTTAATATGAAACCAGAAAATTCAGATGTTTAAGCCATCAAGCATGCCATCTAATAATTAGATTACATGCCTCAGAAGTGTTGCTTTGTAGATGCCTTTAAGTCTTTCTTTTAAACAAGGATGGGAGAAATGTTTGGCATTAAAATCTTTACAAAATGCAGGCTTTCTAAAGAAATGTGGCCCAATAAAGATTCAATAAAACATCAGTCTCTAACTATGCTTAATGGTAATTTTGTTCCTTGTTTTTTTCTTTCTTTTTTTTGGGGGGGCGGGAGGGGGGAGGAGGGGGGGTATATTCCAGATTTGCAGAAATATCTCCCATATATTTTGAGATACATTTTGTTATTTGTTGTCTACTGCTGTTGGGATATTTAAGCACTTAATTTCTTACTTTTAATAATAATTTGGCCTTTTTGTGTGTATCATTTGCTATGTACACCTACCTCACATTTGTTTCTGAGGATATGCAAGGACCTTCACTTGGACTGACGCAATCCCAAGAACAGATACAGGCTGGACTGCTCAGAGAGCTTGTGGATGGTCCCACCCTGAAAGCATTCAAGACCAGGCTGGATGGGAATTTGGGCAATGTGGTCTAGAGGGAGGTATCCCTACCTATAGCAGGGGATTGGAACTAGATGATCTTAAAAGTCTCTTCCAACTCAAACCATTCTACGATTTTATGATTTTTTTATATCAAGATTACAGTATTTTAAATGGCTTCATCTTCTTTTCAGTATGGAGGCCAGCAGTTACTGTGCAAGAGTATGCAGAGAAGGGAAGAAGAGAGCAGAGAGAATGAGGGAATGGAAGAAATTATATATTGTTGATAAGAGATTAGAACAATTTAGTACAGGGAATGATTCAGAGATAATTGGAATACTAAAGAGGAAGAGAATATGTGGAGCAAAATAGTTTATTTACTTACAAGAAAGAGTGAGGAGGTACAATAAGATGGAGGTGCTAGACAAGTAAGAGAGAGAAAAACCTCTTTTATTTGTTGTGTTGTATTCATTGAAAGCAAAGTTTTAAAACATATACTGATTAACTGCAAATTGAAGATGAATATTGCATGACTGGGGAAAACATTTTAAAAGAACGTAATACATTTTGAAATCAATTGCATGCTGTTGAATCAGCAACAGTGAAGGCAGTGCAGTGGTGTTTGCTAGAGACTATTAAAAAAAAAATTCCCACAGTATGTATTTTACTTTCCAAGGTAACGATGTGGAAAATCTCACATACCTATAAAGACTGTTCTAATTAGTTTTTAATGTGTATACAACAAATGACATACTCTTAGGGGCTAGAGACTTTGGTTTAAATTATAGATGTAAAATCTATTGCTCGGCTCACGCTTTTATACGAAATGAAGCTGTAATTTTAGACAATCTTACCATCTCTTTTCTGAGATGCATTTAGTTAAGAGCGAACTAAAGAAAATTTTTAAAACCTCGTTTGGAGTTTACAGTTACCTAAACATATGTAAATCAGTACTGAGGGTATAAGTCCTGCTTTAAAATTTTCCTGTGCTTACTAATGTATCTGGAAAAAAAAAAGAAATTGGCAAAAATACACCCTTTTAAAAACAGGTTCCCTGAAATTAATTCCCTTCCTATTTCCATTAAAAAATAAATTGACTAAGAACAGCATGAGAAATGATATATTTAAAAACAGAAATGTAATTTATATTAACTTTATTCATGAAGTAGTGAATATATTTTTCTCTTTTCCTGCTCTTGCCATTTAAAGTCATGCGTTTTGGAGAATGCTTCATTAGTCTTCTCTCTCCTTCTTTTCCTTTATTGTTCCCTTCTTTCTTTAATTATTTCCTCCCTTCTCTCCTTCCTTCCTCCTTCCCTTTCTTTCTCTCTCCCCCTTACCATTTTTTTGAACTTTTGGAGTTACTTAGATTACACTTTTTCTTTTTTCACCATCCTTTTGCTCCAGAATGTGGCACTTGTGGCAGCACACAACGAAACAACTGACAAAGTCACTAGAATTGGCAGCATTCGTGATATGTAGGATAGTGAAAATGACATTCATTGAGGTAGTAAGCCTATACATTTACAATGATGAGTTATTACAGGCGATAAAGTCAAATGCTTCTACCAAAGCATTTGAGCTTTTTGTTTTTAATGTGTTTGAATAGCCTCCGCAGTGCCTGTGAACACCTCACCAGGGCAATCTGTTGGAAAATAAGTGTAGTGACTAAAATGGGAAAGGGAACTCTCAGTAGAGCAGTGCAGTTTCTTCAACCATGAGGAGTGACACAAAAAAGTCTGAATAGAAAACCTGATTCATTTTTATGTTCTGTCCTTTCTGAGTGCTAAGGGATCAAAACTACTGTAATACTGACTAATTACTTTCTTAAATAAGGTGGGACCAATGAATAAAAGAACGTATGCACTTTTAATGAATATTAATGATAATAACTGATCAAGAAAGGAACAGCTGAACAAAATAAAGATGCTCCAATATTTATCAACAACAAGATTACTGAAAAATAAATCCTGTAATATTCACATTTGCTTTATTCTGTTCTGACTCTGGACTATGGGGGTCTGGCACAATTTCAAGCTGAGACCAATAGTACATCAGAGCCTCACAACACAGTGTTTTCAATAAGTTTTGATGCACAGTGATCTGCAAAAAATGTTCAGGACAGAGAATGTTCCTTTAGGGCTAATGGTTTGGAATCATTGACTTTGAATGAATATAATCTGTGAAAGACTGATTACATCATTAGCACCCAGTTGTGCTATTGATTACAAACAGAGCATGCTTGCTGTTCTACCACGACTTAGCAGTGCTTGACTGACCTTGCTCAAACATGCTGATATTATGGGGATGTTTTTTTCCTTATTTATTAATTGGTGTATTTATATGTATGCGTGTACAGTGATTGTATATTTCTAAGAGTTTTAGCTAAATTGGGCTTTAAAATGAAGAGTGATCTTTGTTCTGCCTCCTTTCATCTAGTTGCATTAACGCTTGCCAGAGCAATAATTAGGCTTATCTAATAGATTTCTCCACATTTTAAAATCAATAATAATGTGAAAGATTGGTCTCGTGTAACATTTAGTTGATTGTGGGTTTTTTGTTTGTTTGTTTGTTCTCTTTTTTTATCAGGGTGTCTTGTGGGTAATGGTGCAGAAGAATGAGCTACTTTATTTCTTTTTTCTTATTCTTCATTTTAATTAAAGCAAAGTTTAAAAAAGGAAAAACAAAAGAGTATGTTGTGTAGAAGTTGCATTTGAGACTATAGCTAAAGAGGGAAGCTTTGGTGCATGTATTGGGCACACTAATTCTGTGAAGTCAATAATTTCTGACATATAAAGTCACTTAACATTTTAAGGTACGTGCAATGTTTAAACAACATGTTTTTGGATCTGATGGGTCACACACTGTTTCAAATTTTCATCCATTGCCCTGTAGTTAAATTACTTCTGCAGAAGCACAAAAACACTGAATTGTTTCAGGTGCCACAGTATGTCTAACAGGTGTCAAAACAATAGTGGTAATGTATCAAATGGAGAGAAGAACATAGTGTCAAAAGAAAGAATTCAGAAAGAGAGGAGGAAATAATATTTTTGAAACTTAAGAAAGACAGGCAACACAGTACAGCATTAAAAGGCAAGAAAGATTGTGAAGGTGTAATTTGGAAATAAATCTGAACCATAAGAGCTTCTGTAGTTAAGCTGATATAAAGGTTGTACCTGAACATGTTTAATTGATTGCAATGTGAAAAATCTGTTTATGAGTATAACGAAATTTTTCATGCTTTGCTGACATGGAAGCTTCTCAGAAATCAGATGAAAAATTGTTGAGGTTTTTTGTTTGTAAGAAGAAAGCATTTACTTGATGGAATAATGCTAGTATGTTTGTTAGTACAGTCATGTTCTCCTTTAGAAGTATAGAAAATTATATGTGTACATATATATTTAAATTATATTAATTTAAATGAGGACTGGAAATAAACTTGAATAAGCATAGGTCTCTCTTTTGAAAATGTTTTTAAAGGCATTTACTTGATATATGGCGTAGTTAGAGGATGTTATGCACTGTACATGCATGTGCATTGTGAATGTATCTATTAAAAAATCTTTAAGCATATTCTGCAAGCCTGCAAATTTTGTGAAATAGTTCTTTCCTGCTATTAAGCGAGGGTCAAACCTCAGCTGGAATATCCTGTTTTTTTTTTTTTTTTTTTTTTTTTTTTTTTTTTTTTTTAAGATGCTCTGTTTTGAGGAAAGCAATATAAGGGAAATCACTGAGGAAAGCAGGAACAGAAAAGAGAATAATCAGATGTCTAGAGAATATTTCATCACTAAAATTTTGAGATAATCAGGGACATATAGAGAAACCTAAGCATAAGGGTGGAAGAGAGAGCAGGGTTAGGGATGGGGAGACAGTTTCTGGATGTATTTGGAACTGCTGCTGGCAAGCAGAAGGGGAAAGGGGCGGGGGGGAGTAGAAACAGTAATCTATCTCCAGGTACGTATGATAGTGAAATTAGCAGTACCGTAGAAGATTCATAAAAGCCATAAGGAGAATTTTCTAATGACATTGACAGAGATAGGTTGACACTATTGTGGGAGATTACAAAATATCTATTACTGGAATTTTTTTTCCTCTAAGTAATGATGGGTAAAAATTTGATGAATATGATGCTAGATGATCCTTTGTGGAGGGGAAGGAAGAATAATATATACCATATGATCTTATAGATGACCTCGCAATTAGAATCTGACAGTTGTTAATATAAGATTAATGTTGTAGGCAGAAAAAAAATTCAGTAGTGAAGATCTGTCAATGCACCACTGGCTGAAAGAAGTTAGGCTTTAATCCATTTGGTATATTATATTTTCAGCAAAAAATGTAAGGAATAGCTGAATCTTGATTCCTTATAATTAGCTTTTGGTCTTCTTCAATAAAAATAAATAAAAATGCATCTTGTGTTTTACTTACAATAATAATGGGATTAGAAGGAAAATCAGGCTGGAAGAAACTTAGAAGTCATCTAGCCTCCTTCTCACTCCAGTTTGCACTGGACTATTTCCAGTCTAGTCTTAAAAATTTCCAAAGATGGAGGTCTGTACAGCCTATGTAAGTAGCCTACTCTTAGGATTGACCACCTTCAAAATGGTAAATAGTTTTGTTTTTTATATTCAGGCTAAATTTCTTCTGATTCAGATTACTTGTAGGCCTTTCACCATATGTATCTGTGAAAGCTGTGGTTCCATCTTCTGAAGAACCAGTAAGCCTAGATAGACTTCTGTTGCATCTCACTGATGCTATATTTTCCCAGGCTGAACAAGCCCCATTTCATTAGACCATCATTAGCAGGTGGGTATTCCATTTCTTATGAGAGTGCAAAACATTCCGGGAATTTTTCTTAATTTAATCTGTTGCCAATCAACAAAAACTTGATTACTGATTTGGGTATTGAGGAAGAAAAGAAAGTAAACACTTGACATGTTTTTTTCTCTTTATCATGCTGAGAGAAGAGTAATAGGCCTTATCAGCCATACCTGAGGCCTCAATCTACCCACATGCATAGGCTTGAAGTCACTTAACACCCACTCACTGTGTTGTGGGTTTAGTCTCTAGCTCAGATACAGTTCTGTCTGTGCTTGACTATAGTGCTGGTGACCCTCGCCTTTGGACTGGCAGATGGATTTCCACCTTGATTTCAAGCCTGCCTTGTCACTATAAGCTGTCCTTGATTGAACCTTGCAACTATGTCTGGTTGCACTTTGCTCAGGTACCATGGGATAGGGCCCTGGCTGCACATTGCCTCAGTTTCCCCTGTCCCCCTAATATGGTGCACACCTTCTGACTGTGTTGTAGCATTCCATAGATCTGGCTGTCTAATTGCTTATGTTATTGGCTTCCTAATACAAAATTCCCTCCTCAATAGGAAGTCTGATTGCACTCAAATACCTGGCACTTTACTGGGCCCACTTGGAAAAAAGCAGTTTTCCTAATCAATTATTAATAGGATCACACAGTTGGAAACATCAGGTTTTATAGCAGTGGCTGTGAATGTTCCCTATCCTCCTTACAGTGTAATTGCCCTTCTCACCCACACCCTCATTTAAGGATTAGTAGCCAAGGGAGCAGCACCTTTCTGGATGGAGATTGTACTCCTCTTGGGTTGCTATCACTCTTCTGAAGGTATGCGCAAATTCAATTTTTTTTTAACATGCTATTGCTTCACAGTGTTTGTATCCTACTAGAAGGTACTGTCATGACTTTCTTTTGCCATGTGCTACTGGAAGAATTTGAGTGGTTACATTCTGGGAGGCAGCATTATCTTCTTCATGGGTCTATTTTGTAATTATAACTGTAGCATACTGTATGGGTTCAACTTTAGCTTACCTGTTAGCACTTCTGCTCTCAGCCTATTTCTCTAATAGAGACCATCAGCCAGGCTACCTCACTCCGGTAAGTGGTCCTAGTCTTGAGCATTGCACACAGACTGCAATTCGCAAGGAATGTCTGTCCTGATTTGGATCAAGCAATTAAGGACAGAGTTTTTCCTAGTTAGCTAGGCCCTACCTAGCCTGTGTCCTTGCTCTAGTGATTCTTGTCTGGACAGTTTTGTCTTTGAATCATTCCTCCTGTTGGCTGCTTCTCCAGTTTGTTGAGGTCTCTCTGAGTGGCAGTTGTGTACGCCTTGTCCTGTAAATAGATATCATCTGCCTAATTGAGTCCTCCCAGGATGCATTTCTGTGGGATTTGTTGCTAATCCTCTGCTAGAGCAGAAGCCATTAGATATAGAGCTGAGTAACATAACTTAGTGGGAATGGTAGTGATGAGTTGATAGTTGAGCTGAATTATGTTGGTGGTGGTTTTCAATCTTAATGATTCTGTAATTTATCAGTACGCTTTGAGCCAAGTAGAATTTTACTAATTAGGTTGCTAGCTCATTCAGGTCATAATTTCCACACTTGCATCTGCTGTCTGTAAGTCATCTGCTGCATTCAGCAATGTGCATGTTTTCACTTGATCAGGAATTTTACTCAGCGTGTGGCAAATGGTCCTACGTACAGGATGATAGAATGTTACAGTTTGAGAAATGCTATTCAACATTAACAATATGAATCCAAATGAGAATTTGGATCCAAATGAGAATTGTGTCTGTTGTTGTCATTGCTGTTGTCATTGAGGTACTGCAAATAGTAAATTTTTCTTCTTCTAAAACTTTGTGGGAATAATTATAGATTTTTTCATAAACCCATTAGTATTACATGAGTAAAACAAGATTATTTGCTATATTTCATGTATTCAGAAAACTTTTCTGGGTATATTATTTTTATTTACACTTTATCTATGCAGAAAACTGATACGGGAAAGAAGTTTTCTGAAGACTGATAATTTTGATATCTACTTCTAAAGCTAAGTGAAGATTTTCTGGCAATACATAGATAGGGGGAAGGGGGAGGGAGGAAGCTTTCTATTGTTCCTCCTTTTCGTTTTGTTTTATGCCTTTTGCAACTATTTCTCTCCAATCTGTTCCTACTTTTACTTTTTTCATTCATGTGTAAGTTGTTTTCTTCCCATCCTAAAAGTACCTGTATCAATCAGCATTTGCAGTATTCATGTGCAGTGCAATATATTGTGCAATTGTAGATAAGTTAGTGTCTTGTGAGTGATGCCTTTGTATTCTATTGCTAAGATAAATTGTTAAGAATCTCTGTAATATCTGTTAGAGTACTGGTACATTCTGTATATCTACTATGAAATTTTTTGAGAGTACAGTGCTTTTTCTTATGCCTTCATTTATGTTTAATTGCTTTAACACTTTGGGATTATGGAAAATTAAGGGAAACTTTTATTTACAGGATTTTTTTCCATTAGTAAACAGTATTGTTCCATTAAACTTTGAACTGAGTTGGAGCAGTGACGTGATCAGCTGCTTCCCTTCTATTCTAGATGTTGGCATGTAAAAAGCTCCACAACTTCTACATATTAATGAATGTAGAAGTGCAGTAAATGAATCTTCATGCAATATGAAGTTATTGATGTAAATACTATAGGAAACAAAACAATAGTCCATTATTATAGATTTGATCCGTTTTTTTCCCTATTGCTTCTGCTGTTCAGTTGACAATAATTTATCACATTCTTTTTCTGCAATATCACTTGACTTTGCTTTAGTATAATTGTTTTTGCCTTTTGAATGCTATGAAAACTATGATTCTTGTTGTGTTTTTTTTTAATCATCTAATAGAAAAGATAAAATATAGCATCTTTTGGAAATATTAGGGTGAAAAAGTAGTTTCTGAAACAATGCTGGTAAAGAAAAACCACAGTGTTTACCAGTTTTCTTCTCTATTAGAACACCAAAGATGGATTTTTAGAGATTAAAAAAAAAAAAAAATAAAAATCACAAATTTCAGTTTCAACCTCCCCTTGCTGTTGAATGCAAGCCTGTCCTAATTTCCAAATATTGTTAATGTAGTACATCTTTTTGCTTGAGCTCTAACACTAGGTTATGAAACTAAAATTGTGCACTGGATACCAGCAAGTCAGTCTCAGTGGTGTGGTTCTGTACCTGAGGGTTTCATTGCTTTCTGACTATTGAATTACCTTGCAGATGAGGCCCAGTAAGAAAACCATCCTAGATATCTTGAGAGGTAATATTTCTTCATACTAAGCCTGTGCATATTGGTGATTGATTATCCGATCAGGTTATGCTTATTACTGAATTTGGGTATTTCCAATGGCATATATTTATTTCTGGCAGTAATTTTCATACTGCCAGAAATAGCTTAGTGGCAGTTACTCTGTTGTGCTTAACCTCATCTCAGTTGCCTGCCTGCATTCTTGTAAATGTTGCCAATGTCGCCCACTCAGTTCATGTTTATACCTTTATTTGTTATATATATATAACATATATATATATATATCTGTTCTGCATGCATTCATTTTCCAGTAGCACTGATTTGACTGAAAAAAATGGCCTGTGTGTATTCCGTTATGACTGAACTAGACTCAGCTGCCTACCTCTATTTCTAAAGTAATTCAAATGCGGGTAGATTCCTTTCCAGATATCTGTCTTTGGGTTGCACACCTTATCAGCTATCCCACATGTACCTTATAGCTAAGACAGCTGGGCTGGTTCTGTTCTTTAAGCTTGTAAGATTACTCATCACCTTAACACTACCTTTGTTATAATGCTATTTGTATCCATCTTTATAGATCTGTCTATAACACAACACAGAGGTATCCATACAGAACTCCTGGCCCCTGAAGAAATAAGTGTTGTATAACTTCTATTGCTATTAATGCAAATTTGTAATGACTTAATGGAATTTTTCAGCTGTTTAAATTTCAGAAACTTCTTTACAAATATTTGTTAGCAAATATCAAATGCAAGACAAAAAGGTTTTCAGTCTGATAAGTCAGGCTCAAGTAATTCTAGTAAGTGGATTTGCGTTAGGCTGGTGATCAGTCACTAGTGGAGTTCTCCATTTTAGGGCCAGTTCTCTTTTATATTTTAATTAATGACTTGGATGCAAGACTTGAAGATCTTAAAGCTATGCTTAATAAGTTTGTGGACAGCACTAAATTGAGAGAAGCTGTTAACTGGCTGGAGGGTGGAGAGGCCTTGGATGAAATTCAGGAGGAAGCTCTGGATTCTGCCACCTGGGCAAGGGCAGCCCTAAATATGTGTTAAGACGGGGGATGAGTGCCAGGAGAGCAGCAGCCCTGTGGAAAGGGATCTGAAGGTTCTGTCTGAAAGCAAATTGAATGTGAGAGTGCAGTGTGCCCTGGAAGCCAAAATGACCAAACATACCCTGGAGTGCATCAGGCCCACCACTGCCAGCCAGGTGGGGTTGGGGTTGTCCTGCTCTGTGGCCACCCTTTGAGCACTGTGTGTGGGTTTGGGTGTCACAGTACAAAAGGAGCATAAAATTATTACAGAAAATCCACAGAAGGGCTATAAATATGATGAAGGGTGTGGAGGGCTAGAACCTGTTGGGAGCTGGATTTAATAATCCTTGTGGGCTCTTTCCAACTCAGGGTATTCTGTAACTGATATAAGAAAATACAGAAAGAATCATTAAGATGCTCGAAGCACATTTTCTACAGGGAGGAAAAAAAAACCAAAACATAGTATACGGTTGTCAAAAGGTCAGAGGATGAATGAATATGACTTATCAGTCGTGTGATAAGATTTTCATAGATATGATTCATCAATGTTCACCTTTCTCACTCATGTTTCAGTCCAATTTATTTTCTGTCAGAAAATACAGGCATGAATTGCAAAACAGGAGGAAATATATTCTGGGTGCTGCCTATTAAGTAAGGTGGGCCATTTGGGCTGTCTTGGATGCACAGATTGAATGACCTAGATGTAACGTAAGGTTTCTTTTTTGCATAACTTCAAAGATCTGGAAAATGCAGTTTCAGTAAGATATTCATGCAGGTATCAAGTGTCAGGAAAAAAAAAAAGAAGACTAAGGAGGAATGGTGGATTCAGACACGGTTCAGATGCATTGGCTTTTTTTTTTTTTTTTTTTTTTTTTTTTTTTTTAAGTTACTTAGGATGATAACCACAAAAGAGACTGTGAAGAATTGTTTAATCCAGAATAGGTAAGCAGACCAGGGAGGTTTACAAATTGGCTTTTACTGCATGGACTTTTCTCTGTGCTCCTGTGTGAAATAATTTTAAAACACCTACCAAGGATATACGATTTCAGAGCTTTGAATGGTAACCCAGATGAAGTGAATTTATATCAGGCACTTATTAAATCAGTAACTGAAAATTTTTGTTTCTCGTTTTTCTATTTTTTTTTTTTTACATGCTAGTGGAAACTACAGGATATTATGCTTGTATTCTTGTATGTTTAAGAATGTAGAGGGGGGAAAAAAATTCAGCAGTGCACTAGATTAGTATAATAACCTAGAATGTTTGAAAATACTTGCATGGAAGAGGCAGAATTAGAAATTTTCATCAAATAAAGAAACTGAACTGCAGAATTCCATGACATGCATCCAGTACATCATGGTGTTGGTGACAGAGAGGTCCCTGCTCACTTTCCTGGACTTACAAGTGGGAGGACAAATAAGGAGATGATTAATGATTTCAAAGAACAATTTTTTTTATATGTAAATAATGTTTGTTGTCTAAATGTTGAATGTGTGTGGCTGTAGTTTGAGAAGATAAACTGTCTCTAAGAACATGAACAGATAATCCATTTGTTTTTGTAATACAGCTTCTTAAAGTTTTTTTTTTTTTTTTTTTCTGTAATATGAAGTTAAAATTATTTTCTAAGCCAATTGTTCAAAGTAACCCACAAATTTATGCTGTCCTGCAGATTGTCACTTCTGTTGCTTTCATCTGCCATCTTGTGGTATGTTAGCTTAATCTCAGGTGTATAAAAATACAGATACATTATTTACTGTTTTACATTTTTTTCCCTATCTCACACTTGCAATTGCTAAAATGAGGCAAGCTGATTTTATTTTTATGAGCTAAGATGTACAGTAAATGGATTTCCATGCACCATTTTCAGTATTGGAAAAATAAAAAATGGTTGAAAAATCAACAATCTACAAAGTTCTTCAATGTATTTCTGCTTTACTAGAAATCATATATAAACAGACTTCTGGACTTTGTGCTGATGTGGCTTCGTAAATTAGAACTTCTCATGAAAACTGAACTTTTGAAGTTAGTTGCTGGTAACATTGTGAATATATGTAAGCTTAAAAGTAGATTTCAATAGGCTTGTTTTAAAGCCAACAGAGTTCTTAGAAGTTATGCAACTTCTCGCACTAAAACTAAGTCTTGTTTTCTTTATGTGCTGAGCTTTTCAATGGAATCTGGGGATTTCTGTAATGACTGCTTTTCTATTCTTAAGAACAAGCTACCGAATCATAGATTTTTTTTTTTTTTTTTTTTCCCAAGGAAACTGCTACGAAAACGTATATTTCTGCATTAGCTGTATGATATCACTGTCAAGACTGTGTCATTGAAGTTCTGATAGATCGCATGGAGAGGATCTAACACAATGCTGCCTCCCTAAACACATGGAAAGATTGGAGATATTCTGTCAACGGTTAGCAAGAATAACACTGGTGGCTTTTCCAGTCAGTATGGAGAACTTATGGACTTGTCACATTTTCATGTGCCCTAAGTTGCCAACTCAACTGCATTTCACTGTTGATTACTTTTTTTTCTATCAAAAACACTTTACTGTATCAAGCCTTTTGGGCAGTTTTGCAGATGATGCTTGGCAAGATGTAAGGTGTCAACAAATTCATCATCTGAGATAATAGATAATAATTGCGGTTGTATTTTTCACTAATGCTCTGTTCTGGTGGTTTAAAAGACAGTTATCATACTTTCAAGAAGAAAGTAGAAATTGCATCCTATCATTACTGTCAGCTTTTTTTTCTACTTAAAATAGATGGGGTGTGATTGCAATGGATCACCTTCGATGTGTTAATTTCTGATAGAGACAATATAAGTTCTCAATTTTGGTGCGTGCTTTGTTTGTTTTTCCCTCTAAGAAATTCCTAACAGTTCATACTCATTGAATAAGCAATCTAAAAATCTAGAGCTCCACTGCAGCCAATCTAATTAAAGAAAAGGCTTTGGGAGGGCACCAGAATCTTGAGGGAGTTTAAGTGGTTGTTAAAAGTTTTATGATTAGAAGAAATAGTTTTTTATATCTTGTATCTATTTATTACATCATAGTTGCACATACTTAACACAAGCTTGCTTCATATACACTGGTATAAGATGAATGCTTTATAGTTAATGAGATTACTTTGGGTTGATAGTGGAATAACTAAAAACATAATGTTGTTTGAATATTATAGGAGTAAAGAGAAGTAGTACATAGTTTCAACAACTAATTTGACTGAACTATCAGACATATTTTGATTAAAGAATCTGAAGTAGCCTTATTCAGGTATAGGTAAAAATACTTATATGACACATTACATTTTCCAAATACGTGGGGTATGATTCTTTAATCTGTCAGAAAGATTAGTAATTAAAAGAATGTTAAGTTCCATGTGCGTGTACTAAACGCTGTTATTATAGAATGCTTTTCCACATACAACAGTGTAATAGAGTGCTTTGTAAAATGTTAACTCTTAATATTTTAATAATTAATCAGGCATGAGCTAATTAATGAGTAATATTTAAACTTGTCTAGCATTTTAGAAGAATATATACTCTTCTGTTTCTCTGTCACTCAGTACTGAGTGCTCAGTTGCTGACGTGAAGCAGTTCTTAGAGATCGAATAGGCTTTGAGACAAAACTTACAGAAGATCTGATATTGTTTCTATCTGTCTTCCTAAATGTCACATGCACATACTTAACAATCTCCCTTCACTCTCCTTATCTGCTCTCTTGGCCTAAAAGACAGATGATTTAGCACTGCCAAGAGAAATAATATTTTCAATATTTTAATTAAAACTTTGAAGAGAGACTTGAATGTGCCTGGATATGACTGGAGCATCCCTATTTTGTAGCTTCTAATAAAAAACACGTTAGAGATGTTGAGTATCTTTTTCTAGCACTTAGGCATTCTACTATTATCCCAAAGTAAAAATTCTGACCTGAGTATTGATGCAGTAATTGTAATGAACATGTATTCATGAAAAAGTGATTGGGCTACTGTAAAAAGGTCTTCTGCACTTCAAGGCATATGATCACTGCGGATAAAACTTTAGGCATGAGCTGATATTTTTTAAAATAGTATTTGTTATGCAAAACAACTCTGGGAAGATTAGATAAAACTTGGGATATATAGTAACCTGAGGAAAGAGGTTAGTTGTCTGGATGACTGATTTTTATCTTTGCCTTAAGGGACAGGTCTAATACCCTGCACAAAAATCTGTTTAGCTGGGGAAGAAAAACTTTCAAAGTTTGAAGTTCTTGTTCCATTTAAAAGGAATGAGCTACTCTGTATCCCTCAGGTCAAATGTAGATATTTTAAGCTATCACCTGTGGAAACTGGTAAGACAGAAATATAGCCTATCTGCCAGCAGAGGAAGACCGAACTAGCCATTGAGAGGAAAATACTGCTTTGTTACTCTCTTATCAGAGAAGTATAGGAATGAATACATTGTTCTCTGTCAAAGAGAACAGGAGAATATTGTTTCTTTATTTGTTGGGGTAATTATTATGAACTGATGCACAAAAGTCACAATTGATTCAGAAGATGCTTAAACAAATTTTAGTGTTACTAAAAAATCAATGCAAGGTGAAAAATGTACAGCAGCCTCTCATTTGTATCTTCAGAGCTATATGTGGGCTAAAAGCTCTGCCAAAATCCCTCTTCACTTAAAAAGAAAGCGCTGTAGTCAGTAGCATATTTTATCAAATCAAGGTGAAAATGGCTGACTAAGGACACTGACGGATTACCATATTATTTTTATCAGTGATTTTTGCTCCTAATTGGAACTTGATCATCAATTCCTTCTTAGTCCCTTAAATTGTACAGAAGTCATGAAAGTATGTATTTAGAATCAGCTTTTGTGCCAAAATGTAAGTTGGTGCTTAAAAAAACAAATTCTTCTAGTTAGATGGAGTGTCAAACTTGTATCAATCCTGAACTGTGAAGTAGGTGCTTGCCTCGTTAAGAGCAGGTAGTTCTACCTGATTCATGCTAACAAAACTTAACTTTAGCCTATTATGTTACTTCCACTGTCATCCTCACTTCATGTTTGTTTTAATTAATTGACTCTTAGCAGGAAAAGGAGCCAAGACAGCCCATTAGGGCAGCAGACCTTAACTTCTTCCAGAGACTTATTTTAGCCTTGTTATGTAAGCCAATCTGTTTCTCCCAGATGTAAATTTAGGCAACTTGTTTGCTTTATACTTTTATTTCTAAGAACTGAGCTGGGGTTTAGGATCAGAGAACATAGAAGAGGCTGTTGCTGGGCTCCATTTCAGCAATTTGTGGGTTGCAATTACTTTGTCTATTAAAAGGATTGCTTGCCGTTATGTAGTTTTCTAATCTACAGCCAGGATTAGACTACTTACTGGGGTTAAGTTCATGGTTCAACTAGAGAGCATCATTACTCAAATGTGAATGGACCCTATATCAGTCAGTTGAAAGTCGAAGGGGGGGTGGAGCAGAAGGTTTTCACTAGCATGACCTTTTTGATTTAAAAAAAAAAAACAAAAAAAACAATGTTGATGCTGGTAGATGTCATTGACTCAGATAAGGCAAGAGTGTTCACACAGAAAATGGCTATAAAGACATAGTGTTGGACTGAAAGAGTAATTTGGATGACCTTTTGGCTTGGTGTTGAGACCTGTTTCCAGATTACGCTTGTTATAAATTTGTCAATATGGCTAGGCTAAAACTAAGTTTTAAGATTGGCTTTTGCATTTACTGGTTAAAAAGTAAAGGGCCTTGGATTGAGATGAAGCTGAAAGTCCCTTATGATCACTGTGGACCAGCCTTCCTACTGCATTTAGCAGGAAGTTGCCATAGATTTCTTTCATAAGTCTACAGTAAATCTGAAATCATAGCTGAAGTCCATGGAAAGGACTGGAAGAGCATAACTGTAATTGCCACTGTGTAGTTCTGGCTAAAGAAAAGATCTTTAATAATGCTTTTTGTAAACTGAAATTGAGAGATGTATCATGTATTGTTAACAATGCTAGTATATCTATTGAATGACTCATAGTTGATATTAAAAAAAAATAATAATCTAATAAATACTACTTTTCCATCTTTTCTGTTGATTCAAATGAATTGAGGAGTTTGAGATTTGTACATTATCTACAATATATATATATATATATAATACAATAGTAATGCCTCTTATTTCCATGGAAACTACAACAGATACAAAGTACACAATAAAATTCATTAGAGCAAATCCTTAGCTACAAATAAGCAACTATACAGATGTATAATTGCCAAGTATACAGAGAACTTAGGCTGGTCTTTAGAGAACATTTATCTGGAAAGATTATCATGTTGGAAAGGAATAATCAGAAGTGAATGGAAAACCTTGCCTGTGTCACGGGCTTGTAGAAAAAGACTCAAAGAAGACCAGTTTCCAGAGAGAGATCCTTCCTTAGTGACAGTAAGCCCTTAAATGGGGTCTAGGAGAGGTGGAGCCAAGCCCCATCCCTTCCAGTCACATAGGCGAATTGCCTTCACCTGCGGCTGCTGAGGCTGACTCGGTGCTTGCCTCAGGTGATCAATCAGGTGTTCAGGCCATGATTCAATAGTTCCCATACACACTCCTGTTAGTTATGCGATTTTTTGCTGATGATGGAAAAAAGCCTCTGTCGTGCTCATAAAAGAGCCTGAATGATTGCCCAGAACATGTTTGTCTTTCACATTACTCACCGCTTTAAAACGTACCACACACCACCTCACTGTGTTCACATCCACTGTTTAGTTTCCATGAACATTCATCAATTGTTGATGAATGCCAATGGGTGCAATTTTTTTCCATGTGGAGGAATTCAGTGACAGATTTTCTTCATCCACACTTTCACACTGGAAGTCATTTTGTCAGATTGCTCCTTTGCAGGGAGATTCTCTAAAAGGAGGAAACAGGATTTGACAACAGCTCTTGAGAAATCTTTACTTTTATACTAAGTTTGTATGATGAGTGAGATATTTTGATCATATTCTTTCAGGATTTGAATTACAGTTGTCGTATCTGCATTGTGTCAACTTGCAGAGTTCCCCTATTCCACACCTAACATTTTAACCAAGCATAAGGCTAGCCCTGATAAAGCCATTTTGAGCTTCTAAAATATTTTTGCTTTAATTGTTCCATCAGAATCTTTGAAACCTGACAAATGGAGTCACAAGGCTTTAAGATGTTTTATTCATGCAGCCTTATACTATTTTCAATAACATTAATTTTTAATAGAAATAATAGTTGTCATTTTTATACTATTTTCCATCTCAAAGAAGGCTAAACTACTTTCATGTACTTTC